AAGCCGGTCTACTTCGCTTTTGTTAAGACCATGTTAGAGTTTTTTTTGCAAACTACACATTTTGTTAAATCACGAGCACATTCGCCAAGACCAACGAGCAAAATAATCGCTATGATAGCTTTGAGACGCGCCATTTTGATGAAGGCAAACCATTTGGTGAGCCTCCATGCACATCGCTTGTTCAGCGGTCGCGCATGCTCATGCAAAAAAGACCCCTGTTGGTTTCCAATTGTTTCACTGCCGAGAACTACTGCGATATAAAATCTTTGCCACACGTGCAAATATATTTGTTGTATTCGGTGCCCCGAATTTTTCCTCTTTAAAACGCACAAGAGTGTGTATTATTTAATCATTCAAATCGCACCTGAGAAATGCAATTGTAAACTGTCAAAAAGCAAACTGGGCGCATCGAACACACTTTTCTACACTCGTTTTCAGTCTAGCTCATTAAGCAGTCCCAAGGAACTACTTCAAGTTTATTAGTTTTTAACCAAGTCAGTTTACTGTAGCCCACATGCATAAATTATTACAAAAAATGATGTTACGTTACAAAAAGTCAATTATAACACTTGCTACACGGCATTTACGTTTAAATCAAAGAACATCATTTCACCAGAATAAGACGGCAGTTTTGTTAAAGGTATGTCGATGTGAAAGTTAAGATCGTTCTGGTTGACGTTTCAATTCATTTAAAGCGATATAAATAACCAGCGACACCTAGCGTGGACTGTTGTACTCCTCTGTCTTGTATCGCTAAATTCGAACAAAGCTTGTATACGCTATTCTTAAAAGCCGATATCTCCATGTTACCTTTAGAACGGAACTCAGTTTTGTCAGAATTAACATTTCAGCATTTCAAATATGAATTCAAAACAATGACTTTAAGATCGCAGAAAACCCTGTACATCAGATGACTGTGTATTCAGCCGTGTTACAATTTGTTTTACCTCCTCCCAGATTTAAAAGCAGTAAGAAGTTCCGGTCGTAATTTACCTTAGATGGGAAAAACAAAGCTGCTTAAACATTAGTTTCTAGAAGTTTCCGTCCCTAATGAACTTAGTGTAAACACAATCTAGAATCAGAGCAATTGAGGTGTTCTCAGCTGCTTTACCATCCTCTGTAAGAGCTTCCGTTTTTTAACTAGGAGAATGTTACACAGCATGAAAATGGAGATTTACGCAAAATTAAAGTTTGCGTAAACCTGCGTAAAGTTGGTCATCCAACTTTACGCAAACTTTCCACGGCGCGTAAAGGTTTGTAAAGGTAAATTTACGCGCTCGGCTCTTAAAGGTTTCGTAAAGTTAGCATAAAGTTATTGTAACAGCTTTACGCTCATTTACGCTACAAGTAAAGGTTTAGTAAGGTTGTTATATAATGCTAACTTAATTCCTAACAGCAATTTATTCCCGGCACTGTTTTTAGTAAGTCGTTTGTGTCCTGATACTAGTTCGCATAGTTTTTTGGATCACTCATTTGGTGTTCGATGTTGGTGTACGATGTAAACAAGCCAACCACGCAAATTTTTTTTGGTGGTGCGAACGACTTCGTACACGCTTAAAAATGACGCTGAAAAGAAAATTCTGCCGGCAGAGTTCATGCAAAGATATAGCATGCGACTGTGCGGCAATTTTCGAAAAACTGCATATCTGTCGCGGCAAACACAATAGCCTTCAATACTCAGTAGTATTCCCTCATTGATTTCAGTCAGTATAAGGTGTTTCTTCCTTAACGGTCACCTCTCTACACGGGCCATTTTTTTTTTTTTTTTTTTTTTTTCGGCGGACGGTCCATACATGACAAACATTTACTCTTCTTTCAACCTCTCTACTATGGCCACTTTCTTCGATGTCCCTAAGGTGGCCGTTGTAGAGAGTTTCAACTGTAATTTGATCAAATTGAAATAATTGGAAAATAAAGAAAAAATATCGCCTCGCAAAAACGGCGAGTCTTACTTAAGGTATCAGCCACCCTTGAAATTGCCATTTTTCCATATTTGAGGTTTCAACATTTTCAAATAGATATGCTTGAGAGCTTTCTTTTAAAAAAAAAATCAGAAGAAAATATTATTTCTGTCCAAAGATATCGGGGATAAAAGATTTTTTCTCGTTAATTATCTTAATTGATCGTTGACCAGATCTGTCATACCCGTGTCATATATCAATTAACTTGCCTGTAAAAGAGTGCGTGTTTCGACACAACACGTGCGAATTGTCTTCGCGTTGTTTATAGCCTTTAGTATTCTCCGTGGATATTTAGCGTTTGCTTCGGTGAACATGGCGCCAAAAAAAAGAAAAGGTCGTGTCCGTTTTCGTCATCGAAACCGAGAGCGAAAAAGAAATCGAAGAGCGAGTTTGACAAAGAATGGGCCGCAAAATTGGCAGAGAGCGACAAAGGCTCATTTTATCAGCAAGAGAAGTGGCTCGAGGAGTTGGATATTCAGAAAAGCGAAAATGCTGCAGTTGCTGAGAGTGCAAGCCGCTCCAAAATCCAGCTTGAAGAGCCAGATAAAGAAAGCCAGTTAAGGTCATCGACTCCATCTGCTGATGGAACGTGGAAAACAATAAGCGGTCGAGCTATCGTATCGACCGAAAAGCTGCTTGAGAAACTGGACGAGTCTGTATCTTGTCGATTTTGCCAGGGAAGAGTCCAAGTCGTGGAAAATTTAGCGACTAAGCATGGACTTGGTTCTACCTGGAGAATCCAGTGCGAGAATGAAAGCTGTCCGTCGCACAAGACAAATTCTGTTCTTAATTCTTCCGAGAAGAGCAGAGCGTTTGAAATAAACCGGGCCTCAGTTCTTGGCCTTCGAGCAATCGGTGGTGGACATTCGGCGGCTTCAAAGTTTTTTAGTTTCCTTGGCCTGGCGCCGATCAACAAAAACGCCTGGGCGGATCATACAAAAAAGATCGAAGGAGAGGCAAAACTTTTGCTCGAGAAAGATTAAACCGTGCTTCTCGTGGTGTGAGAGTGGAAGTTTTCCTGTTACATCTTACCTGTCAAAGTCCTATTGTTAGAGAAAATTGATCCCTCTCTGATATCAATCAGAATAAACATTTAGGTGTTATAATCTCATTCCAGGTAGGATGCCGCCAAAAATGTATTTTCTATTTTATCTCCGAACGCAAATTTTGCCGATCGACTCGTACGTTTTGAACTCCAAGTCGGCAGCCTTTCAATCAATTTGGCTAAAATTTGGCCAGAGTGATGCCATATATCTCTTCTACAAAACCGTGTCTGCGAATTTTAATACTCCTTTTCATTTTAAAGCCAGAGCTTTTTTTCCACAGGGAGTGTTGACTAATTGCCTTCCCCAACTTCATTTGCTAATAAAAGAAAAACAAACGCACTTGTCAAAAATCTGAGACACGGTTTTTTGGTGGAACGTGTTGAGAAGCGAATGCGGTGTTAATTGTTTTCTTCCGTTTATTTCCGGCGGGAGTGGAACATGATTTATACAGACGTGTACTTTTGCACAAAGCGTTCCAATTTCGAAACACATTTAAGTAAATCGTTTTTGTTAGTTCAAATCCATAATCTGGAATTATTAAGCTTTTAAAAAATATATGGTTTATAGGGGTTTTTATAAAAACAACTAACGCTACAGCGATCCGCGCGCGGACGGTCCTGAAGGGTGGCTGATACCTTAAAGAAAGAACGCATTACTTAAAGAGAAAGAACGCATTCACAAATTACTGTGACCATTTTACATTCAACGGAGTACTGGCTTCATCGTTGAACCTCCTTTATCGCTTCCTTATTTTAAGTCCGCGGACTTCAGGTTTGGGAACGGACAATTTGGAGCCTGGAAACAATAGAGTGAAGGGACACCTGGTCAGCGGGCTTGTTCCTTTGCACATGCTCAATCAGGTTCGTTGATTTGGCGTCCATTTTGAAAGTGTCCAACGGTTTCAAACTTGCCTCTTTGAAAGGTTGGAGATCGTTCGTATATTATGCTTCTTGATAGCATCACAGGACATCTTAAGGTTGTTACAATTTATAATGGCACTATCAGCGTTTAGTAATCGATCACTTCTCAAGTGTGCAGCAACCCTTTCGGGACGAGATACTCAGTCAGAAATGGAGACAGAAACATCGTGTGATCGAAGCACAAGCATTAACACTGGAATGTTCACAACACAGACCAAGACTGTATTACACGTATTACTAAGGCTCTTCGATACTCAAGATCTCGCTGAAAAGAGCAGATAGTAAGGCAAGGTAAGTTGTCCTGGCTCGCCTTTTCTCTAACTTTTTAAGCTTAATTCCAACTTGTTTATGACGAGTTCGAATGACTGTCTCAAGGGAAACCGGTCGCTTCGCCTACAAGTCGTTTCGCCTACAAGTCGTTTCACCTACACTCTGGTTGATTCGCCTACACGATCAAAGTCGTTTCGCCTACAATGAATTACTTATAATATAACAGTGTATAAATAGCAGTAAAGCTTAGACGTAATAATCGTACCAGTGTCATTTCATGTCTTTTTTTGATGCACTGTGAAACCGCACATTTTTGTCCGGTTTTCCTTTCATCAAGTCGGAATTCACTGGATCCCGGTCCTTTGCGATGGATCCTTGTTCTAGTCCACGCGCGGTTCGGTAAATTACGGATTAGGGGTAAGCGCCATTACTACCCCTTCGTTTATTTTTCGCTGGCTATCAATCGACTTTAATTTCCGGTGGGGAGACTATGTTCTCATCGCCAATGTTCTAACGTGAGCGGGGTTGAAAGTGTTTAATAGACAAAGGAAGGTTTCCCTCTCAGGAAACACGCGCTCGTGCTATTGTAATGCGTTTCTAAAAGGCAAATAATTAGCATCAGTTAAACCAATTGAATGAATAAAGGAAATCAACAAATCACGGTTAAGATGAATTAATGTGATCCTCTTGAATTAATGAAATCAGTGTCCTCGAGTATAAAAGCTTGAACATTCATAAAGCACGCCACCCGATCATCGATCACACGAGAAACATATTCCTCTTTATTCACAAACTGTTCACGAATGGCGGACAAGTGTATCGCATGTAACAAAATCGTCTCTATAAGGCAACAAGCCATCCAATGCGATGGTTGTTTGAAATGGAACCACAGAACCTGTAACACTGGTAAGTGTAATCTTCTGCAGTTTTTCGTGAATTCTCTACAATGTTCCTTACCTCACTCTTAACCTCTTAACCTTTAACACTGGTAAGTGTAATCTTCTGCAGTTTTTCGTGAATTCTCTACAATGTTCGTTACCTCACTCTTAACCTCTTAACCTTTAACACTGGTAAGTGTAATCTTCTGCAGTTTTTCGTGAATTCTCTACATTGTTCCTTACCTCACTCTTTTATCATTTCGCAGGCATTTCTCAACAAGAGTATAGAGAAGCTGTCAACGCCGGCACGGGAATACAGTGGTTGTGTGAGCCCTGTCAGGTGCCAGTTGCGGAGAGTTCTAGAATCTCATCAGAGTCGTCAGCCGCCATTTTAGACTCTTCTGAGTTTAATCCAACTCGTGTTGATTCTTTCAATGTAAGTCTGTTAATTTCCTTTCTTTCTTTAAGATTTCCTGTTCACTTATTTAATGAACAGGATTTTGAACTGCATTGAAAAACTTTGCCGATTTGTTGTCACTTTCTTAGTTTAATTGCGCTCTTTTTGTGTTTAAGGACTGTTCCACCGATGATGAAGCATCGCTTCCCAACCCTCAAACGCAAAGCGAGACCCAAGACAACCCAAGTGAAAGAATGGTAAGTCTACTCACGAGTGTCAAATCTCCCTCAATCTGAACTGTATTGAAAAACTTTGCCGATCTTTTGTCATTTTCTTAGTTTTAATTAAACTTCTGTTTTGTTTAAGGACTGGACTGGTGATGAGATTGAAGAATCGATTCCCGACCCGCAAATCCAAAGCGACACCCAAGACGTCCCCAGATCCTTAACTTTCCACCTAATAGAGGGCGGTACTAAACGGTCCAACATAAAGTTGGCGGACAGCGACGGGTATTCTTACAACGTTCAACTTTGAAGGAACACTTGTACTTACTGACAGTGCACCGTGCGGCCCAAAGGAAACCGGTGTAAAGCTATTGTAATACAGCGTGGGGACACTTTCCAGCAGGGGAAACAAGAACAAGAACGGGTATCACTTGGATACCCACATGTCCCCGAGTGTAATAGGTTACTAGATTAGAAGTCATCTCATATTAGTAGGTTAAGTAACGAGAATTTCAAAATATAATTTAAGGGGCGGGTATCACTTGGATACCCACATGTCCCCGAGTGTAATAGGTTACTAGATTGTAAATAATAAAAATGGTAGAATATATAAAGAGAGAGTCAATATATATGTTGTAGTTAATTTTTTATCTCAGGTAATTTTTATTTTTCCTTTGTTTCAACTTCGTTAGCATACATTATCATACCCAAAAACAAAAGAAAAACAAAAATTACCTGAGATAAAAAATTAACTACAACATATATATAAAGACGTTCCCAGCAATCTCCTCTTACCATGACGATATTGCTGTGTTATCATTTGAGTTTGTCTTAGCCTGCGCCTACTGTAGTCTTAATCTTCGTCTTAATCTTATTGTTGTAGCACGTGCTAACAAGATGGCGGCATTTTGACACTTTTACCGCGTGAGTTGTGTTTGTTGTGGAACTCCTTTTTTACTTCAAAAGATAGATCGTGTAGGCGGATCGATCTGAGTGTGAAGAAAGATCGGTTGTTGACACGCCTGAACTTGGCAAAAGGTAAAATTAAACTTGTTTTAGTTTAATACTTATCGATCTTCAATCGCAACTGTGTAGGCGAAACGACTTTGATCGTGTAGGCGGATCGATCTGAGTGTGAAGAAAGATCGGTTGTTGACACGCCTGAACTCGGCAAAAGGTAAAATTAAACTTGTTTTAGTTTAATACTTATCGATCTTCAATTGCAACTCTGTAGGCGAAACGACTTTGATCGTGTAGGCGGATCGATCTGAGTGTGAAGAAAGAACGGTTGTTGACACGCCTGAACTCGGCAAAAGGTAAAATTAAACTTGTTTTAGTTTAATACTTATCGATCTTCAATCGCAACTCTGTAGGCGAAACGACTTTGATCGTGTAGGCGGATCGACCTAAGTGTAGGCGAAACGACTTGTAGGCCAAACGACCGACATTCGTCTCAAGTACTCAGTAACTAACATTTCAGTGAGCAATGAAACCAGCATTAACCGTTTAAAGTAAATTATAACTAAACATGTGTATTTATTTGGCATAACCTTTCAATACTAAGCAAGCAACGAGACCATGACGTTGAAGATGATAATGTAAAATCATGTAAGGACTTTGGGGGTCTGAAGGAGTAGAATTTCCTTGTTTTGTACTGGAAAATAGGAGTTTGGTCACTGGTACTGGGAATTACTAAAAGAAAATAATGGAATTAAGAAAGGACATCTGTATAAAGTAAGCTTACATGTAATGTGATACAAACATTCTTATGAAAATTTTCACAGACTATAGAAGAACTAATAAACAGAATAGAAAAGTGTTAACAAGTGTTGAATTTGCAAGTAGACAAAGATAATCTACGTAGTCTGGTTCTATATTTTCATGCGTCAGTCAATGACAAACCCAAGCTTCCCAATTCCCCGGGCAGTCATAGCGTCATAAGTGGTGAATAATTTAACAGCATGCATGTATTTTTTGAAGCAGATACAAAAGTTTATTTTTGATTTTAAATTACGTGGGTTTTAACTTAAATGAACAGAGAATGAATAGACATTTTCATGAGTCTTTCAATGCATAGCTAATGCAGACCATGGTTGAATTAGAATCTATTTTCATGTAAGTGCCAACATAGTTGTTAACATCTTCACAGTTTCATACCTTCATCTGCAGTTCAAAGTATGATTCATTTCATATATTACCATTAATTTTAATCTTCATTGTGCACTGCTCCTATGAAATTTTATTGTGGTTCTTGAGAGGATATAGTGCAGCACATACTGTCAGGAAATTGAATGCCTTACTTTTTGGGAAGCAAAGCACACAGTCATGTTAGAAACCAGAAATTGTTCTATTTGCACCATAGTTGTATCGTCAGTAAATCTAGGTTTAAAGGAAAATAAAATTTAAAGAAACAAGTTGTGAAAGATAAGACTGTTAAGAGAGTCATAGCAGTCATAGCTGTTTTGGATTCTCTTGTCTACATACACCATTATTAATCTGCAAATACAACTGTCTCTCTTGTGAAATGTCCCTGGTGGCAAGGAAAGAAAATAGGCTGCTTTATTTACAGGGTACACTGTACATTATTATTAGGAGGCATTGTTTTCAAGATTGAGGATAAGGGCTTTAAATAGCAAAGTGGCTTCACTCCTGTTACATTAACTAGGAACCTTGAACGTTTCGTATTAAAAAGGAAAAAATATGTTAGGTAAAGTTTCAGGAAAATTTGAAACTTTTGGGAATAAGGTGCTTATATGTTTCTGTATTTTCCCTGAAAGTCTTTGGTGGAGCTCATGAGAAGGCTAGGGATGTTTATTGATTTGGAACTTTAGTCCGGGACAGGTAGAAATTTAGTTCGAACATGTAAACCTTTGATATGACTTGTCCGTGGGACAAGTACATTTTTAATTAGAAAAATAAAGATAAGAAACAATATTCCATTTAACTTTGCCATTCCACTGCCAGTCGTTCATCCATTTGCTTTTTTACAAGCTCTGTTGTAGGTTTAATTCAAAAATAATATACAAGGGTAATAATGTGATTAAATAATGTGATTAAAAACATTAAATGCCCGTTGCAAGCTAAACTTTTTGGACAAGAACTCTAGGTTTCGGACAACCAAATTTAATGTATTGCTTGTGTGAAGGACAAGTGGATAGGAAAATTTCTCTCTTACCAGGGTGCAAAGAAGGTGATTTTTAAAGCTTGCCATTCGGGCAAGCTGAAGCTAGCATATACTAGCCCAAATGTCATTTCAACTAGCCCCCAAACAGTTTTGATGAGCAGAATCGATTTCACAGTTCTTCGTTAATTTGAATTCCTCAAAAAATTTCACTTGCCCATCGGGCAAGTTAAGTTCAAAATTCACTAGCTCGATAGCAAAATCCACTAGCCCCGGGCTATCGGACACTACTTTCTTTGCGCACTGCTTACTCTCTAATAACAATAATAATGTACATCCAGTGGTTTTTCATAGCACTTTACAACGATATTAATAGATGATACTTTTATAAAAATGCATACATTAAAATAAAAAAAGATATACATTGTAAAACATTGAACTCTAATAATATAATAAACCATTGTTAATAAATTTAACATATATATATGCTTCAGTCTCCCCAACTAGTAAGGCACTGTGCCTGTGTTATAAGACATGAGACTTTAATAAAGTTCATTACTATTATTATTATTATTATTATTATTATAGGGTTTCCATGTAGCATTTTACCCTGATTTTCACTCAACTGCAAGTAGGGTTCTGAATGTAAATATTATTGCCTTTAAGGAAAGCCTTTAACTCATACTAGTCAAACATTTTGAATCTTTAACAGTCAGATGAATCTTATTCAGTTGTGTGAATTTGTGGACATTGAAATCATTTGCTACTCAGGTTTTGCACTGTTATTAGACCATTTGTGGAAAATGCCTTATCATTTTTTTCAAATTTTTAGTCTTGGTTTGTGAAAAGAGGCATGTGGGGAACCCTGTGTCAAGTAAAATTGTGCTGATTGTAGTAATTTGGCCATGAGTGTAGGAAAAAATATTATTAATTAGTAATAGCAGGCGGTGTCCTCTGGCAACTTAGGGGGTGTTTACATGACACCGGGGCAACTTTTGCCCCGGAGCGAGTTCACTCCGGTTCCCTCTCATAGCTCTATATTTGTTTACATGATACCACCACAAAATGTCATGCAGGCGCGAGTCACCCCAGCGTGAGTTCTCCCCGGTTCTTGTACCGGGGCAAGAATTTCACTCTGGTACAAAATCTCATGGCAGTATCATGTAAATGCGAAACGACCACCCGTTTTGGCATGAAATCGGTCTGCCGGTAGACTGGAATGGGTAGCGCACGCGTAATGTTTGCTATTTTGTATCACACTTGTATTTTATCAACATAAAGTGCACCTTCAAGTAACGAGATATGAAATGACTCAGTCATAATGTAAACCCGATACAAAATCAAAAAGTCATCCCAGTGTGAGACTCGCGCCGGTGTGAGTTTTCTCATGTAAACACCCCCTTACTGTACATGTACTTGTGCCTTTAGTGCACGATTAAGTGTATTATCACTAGCCTACAAATAATCTGTGTAGTTTACTCAAATAATACTTGCTTTCTATTTATTCAGCAGATCAGCCTGGTATGGGATGTTGGTGACAGAAAGTCCTCTCAAAGCAAACAGGATTAATACATGTTAATTACAAGCCTTAGTCTTGTAAAGTGGTTCCAGGGCTGTCACTAAGGGCCATAAACCAGACT